GAAGGACCTGAGGGAAGGTTTCCAGAAGCAGAAGGAGTGCCAGAGGCACCGACCTCAGCCAGGCTCCAGCCCAGCATCCAGCAGTACAGGCTGCGGCCCCAGGCCCCAGGGGCTCACACTGACCAGGGGGAGGCAATACGGCCCAGACCCCTCCCTCGAGTTCCACCCCTGCCCTGCTTTCTCCTCCTTCCTACAGCCCAGCCCAGTCCTCTGGGCAGCCTGACCACGGCCTTAGATGTCTGCACAGTAGGACCCACTCCCTTGGTACCTACCTGCTCCTCCCCCATTGGCTTTGCCCCACCACCACGGGCACGTGTGCCCCCCGCCCCCGCAGAAAGCTCTCTGCTGGCCTCAAGGGAAAGGGATGCTGCCCCCACGGGGAGGGGTGACCATCCTGGTGCCCACAACCAGGAGGGCATCAGCAGCCACCCACGGCAGAGAAGTCTTGGGGGCCATTCTGTTAGCTGCTCTGAGAGCACTTTGGGGAGAGTCCACCAGCCAGCTGCTCCAGTGGCCTTGGGTTGCCGGAGAGAGGCTGGGCTCAGTCTGTGGGAACAGTCCTGTGAACGGCAAGAGCCAGTGGGACTGGATGCAATGCTTAAGCCGAGGGCCCGGAGCCTGGGCCAGGCTGGGCACCAGCCAGCGCTGGGAACAGTGATGGCCAAGGTTCTCAGCCGGGGGTTGAGGGGCGGGCAGCACTCAGAGGGAGGAGGCCAGGGGGGAGGGCAGGCCATGGTGGGGGGCCAGGCGAGCAGAGGAGGCGGTCCTGTGCCTCGCCTGGGCGTCCCAGGGCCTCCTCCCCAGCCCCCAGCCCCCTCCGAGGCGGCCACGGAGAAGTTCAGAGCAGGACCACGCGGCCAGTGGCCTACAGGCTAATGTTCCCCTCAGCCTCTCCCTCCCTCTCTCTGGGCAGGTCAATAACGCCACGGCCCGAGTCATGACCAACAAGAAGACTGCCAACCCCTATAGCAACGGTAAGCGGCCCAAGACCCCAGGGAGGCTGCAGGGGCCACCAGTGGGGACAGGGCCCAGGAGGAGCCAGGCTGCTGGAGGCCGGCCTCCCTGGATGCTGAGTGCCCCCTCATGTCCCGGCTCCGCCGCGGTCAGAAGCGGGTGGGTCAGCGAGGCAGGGGGAGAGCTGGGGCCAGCCGCCTGCACCCACACAGCTGGTGAAACCCCCGTACCTTCCGAGCGTGGCCGCGCCCAGAGGCCGAGGACCGGCTTCAGGCGCAGGGGGAAAGTGGCCGCTTCCTGGATCGTTCCTTATTTTCTAAGTGCCGAGGCTAGAGGCGCTCAGTATTTAATGAGTATGATGACAGTTAGAGGGACAGCCCCCCACCGCCCACCCCTGGGCCTTGGAAACACGGCAAGGTTGAGGCCCCGCTGGCCATAGTGTGCATCAGCTGAGCAGCGTGCCCGTGTGCACCTGGACCCGACTGTAAGCAGCGGTGGCCAGTCTTCTTTGAAACAAAACTGCTGATGCTAAATGCTGGCTGCAGGGAGGAGTGGAGGGACGGCTCTCAGCCTCTGTGTGACTTAACTCCACCAGGCAAGGATTGGTGCGGGGACTGGTTTGAGTGTAGCTGGGAACTCTTTGGAGCCTTTTTGACTTTGTTCCTCTAGCCAGGGAGCAGCAGCCCTGCTCCACCGGGACAAGTCTCCTGGCAGGGCATGGGCTTTGCTTCCCACCCCCACTAGCAGGGAAGAGTGGACTGAGCCAGCCCCAGACTCTCTTGTCCCGGTCTGATCAGATATACATGGAGTCAGGGGACCGGCCAGCATGGAAAACCTAGGGCAGGACAGTGGGCGGATCTGCCGCCTGACTCGCCAGCTGGGGCCCCCAATCTTCCCTCCTGGGGCAGGGCTGGGGCACTGGCCAGACCCCATTTAGCCGAGATTATTGTCGCTCCCCTCCTGCTTTTTTGAGGACTATCAAAGCTCAAATTCTTTCTAAAAATCTGGGGGATCCCCGGCTTTGCGCCTGTCCTGAGCACACGCTGTGTATGACTTCAGTGACCTGGCGCTCAGCACAGGAAGGGAAGAGGTAGACGTTTTTACAGGGCCAGGGTGATCCAGGGGGCTGCACAGCCTCTCCCGAGAGCCACACACCCCTGCTTTCTGGGCAGACCTGAGGATGTTGAGGAACGTGGGATTCGGAAGAGAATCCATCCCTGAACAACTGCAGCCTTGGCTCGGAATGGGCACAGAACCGAGGCCCGTTGAACGACGGGGAGTGGAGAGACGGAGAAACCTCTGCCCACTTCGGTGGCAAACGTGGTTTCATTTAAACATCTTAGTTGGCCTGGGCAAGAGTGACAAGGGCTGCAGTGGGCCGGCCCTGGGTTCCCTGCAGGTGGCAGTGAAGCCCAGCTCATGGGCTCTGTTGACTGAGGCTTGACCCTGCTTAACACTTCAGAGGACTCAAATTCATCAGTCAGTCAGAGGGGCAGAAATTTCCACTTCAGGAAATAGACTCACAAGGTTCGACCAGGTGTTACTATTTGCTGAAGAAACAAAGGATCCGCCCAGGTGGGTCTCAGACTGCCTCTGTCATCTGGGGTCCCAAACAGTGAATTGGGGCCAGAGCAACAGGTGGAGGCACCCAGGATTCCAGAATTGGCAGAGGGAGGTGCCAGGGCCATCCGAAGCAGAAGTGCAGCCTCTCTGACTGCACCCAGAAGAGCTGCCAGATGGGACCTAAGGGAGGTGGGCTTGGGTAACTGGCTCAGGACTCTGCTCCATCGTGGATTTTTACTCAGAAGACTCAGTTCTTGGGACTGGAGGTCATCCCAGAAGATGAAGCGTTTCTTCCCTGCTGACCTGGTATTTATAGAAGATTCCAGAAGCCTAGCAGTAACGTTCAGACGCAAACATCTGTGCTGGTCGTGTGATGGTGGACCAGGGATGGAAGGCGACCCACAGTCTCATGGAGAGTGTGGAGAACGGGCCCCCAGGAGGAACAAGGCCCCAGAAACTCTGTCCTGGACACCTCCCGGCCAACCCAGCAGTGGGGCTGTTAGATTCTGGGCTTGAGACGTGGAGCTGGGCTGGGGGTGTGCTGCAAAGATAAGACCCCAATGAGCTGAGGGGCCAGGGGCTGGGCCTGGTCAGGTGAGCTGACCCCACCCTCACTTCCTGACCACCTGGAGCTGGTACAGGCTCAACTGGCTGGTTTCTACCCCCAGAGCCTCAGGTGGGAGCAGGCCTTCACCCGTGCACCTGGGTCTCTGGTGGGAGAGGATGACCAGCCTGCCCACCTGCAGAGCGGGAGAGGCTGGGGGCCAGGGAGTAGCCAGGAACGTGGGTCTGGCATCCCACAGCTGGTCTGGCTCTGCCACTCTCCAGCCCTGTGATTCAAGGCTGCCGCGCCTCCCTGAGCCTCCATTTGCTCATCTGTAAGATGGGAGGTCGTGACACCTTCCTCGTTGGATGGGTCTAGGACAGTGTGGCATATGGTAAAGTGGTCAGAGGACACTAGCTGTCCTTCTCATTATCCCTAATCCCAAGGCCCCTCCTCCCCACCTCCTCCCCCGGCAGCCCTCCCACCGGCTGCTTTGGGGGAAAACAGACACAGGATAGCAAAAGCAGGACTCAGCACTGAGAAAGGGAGCCCCTCGAGAGCCCCGACCCAGGACGGAGACGGGCAGGAGGTGAAGGAAGTCGCCGTGGCTGAGGCCAAGCTCCTTTACGGCAGACTCTGACCCTCCTGGAAGGCAGCCAGGTGCCCACATGAGACAGCTCCCGTGAGATTGGGCCGTCAGGCACTAACGTACCCAGGCCACCAGCAGCCGCCATCGCAGCTGGGGGCCTACAGACGTTGCATAATAACGCGTTCCACTTTCCCTCCTCGTGCTCTCCTGCAGACACTGCAGACCCCAAGCTGCTGGGGCCAGTGCCCCAGGACAGGGAGGGCCTGGGGCAGGCTGGGGAAGGCTGAAATGTGAAAAGAATCAAGACACCAGGAGGATCGTCAGCAGCGACTGGGTCTCTGTCAGGGAGCAGAAGGCACTCAGCCAGTGAGGCTGCAGCATCCCAAGAGGGGCCCAGGGACTGTGTTCCCGCCTAACCCATCTACCCTGACTGCAGAGGGAGGGGTCCCGCCCGTCCTTTGCAGTGGCCACGGCCTCGGAATGTCCCAGTGGGGCTCATCCTGGAGTCTTTCGGGTTCCCAAGCATAGTGTGAGGTGGGGAGACAATGGGGAAGACAGTGATTGGGTTTCTTTTCTTCTCTTCTAGGCTGGAAGCTAAACCCGGTGGTAGGGGCAGTCTACGGACCTGAGTTCTATGCGGGTAAAGGCTGGAGCTGCGGCGCGGGGCTGGGGCGGGGCTGGCCGGGTATTGGGCGGTCATTGGCCAGTCGTCCTGGGTGGGGGGGAACGTGGCCAGGGGCGTGGCTAGGCGGGGACGGTTTTCGGGTGGGCGTGGCCAGGCCGAGGCGTGGTGGGGCGTGGGCATGTGGGTGTGGCCAGGCGGGATGTCTGGCCAGATGCGGCCGTGGTCAGGCCCCAGCCCTCCTGACTCCCCTCCTTCCCTTAGCCTTCCCTCTCACACTGTCTCCTCTCCGACGCCCTTTCCTGCAGTGACGGGGTTCCCCTACCCCACAACCGGCACAGCTGTTGCCTACAGGGGCGCGCACCTACGGGGCCGGGGCCGGGCTGTGTACAATACGTTTCGGGCTGCGCCGCCCCCGCCCCCCATCCCGACTTACGGAGCGTGAGTACCTGGGGCGCACAGGGAGGGAGGCTTGGAGAACGGCCCCGGGAGCGTGGGGAGGGGGGCGTGGTGCAGCCAGAGGGGCTAGGCAGCCTTTCCAGCACTGTGGCGCGGGGGTGGGGGGCGGTGGGAACCCCAGACTTCACACAGCAGTCGCTTCCATATCAGTACACCCACCTCCGCCCTGCCACCGGGTCTCAGGGTCTCTGGCATGTGAGGGATGTTTAGAGCCCCAGCACCTTGCCCAATGCTTTAATGGGTGGTGGTCGGCCCTGGAGCTCAGTGGGCCTTCTCTAAGCCCTCCCTGGCCCGTTCCCCGGGGCCCGGGGCCCTCCGACCCTAATGGGGGGAATACAGCTGCCTGGGGTGGAGTAGGGGAAGGTGGGCCGACGGGCCCCTGGGTTTGTGGGAGAAAGGAGCTGACCAGCAAGGATGTTACTCTATTGTTATACCAAAACAGGGCACTGGAGCAAACGCTTGTTAAAATGCCAGTCCCATGGGCAGGGCTGGCACCCTGCCCCCTCCCTCCTCAGCAGACACCGGAGCCGGCCTACCCCACCTCTCCAGCGTTCCCACCACTTTCTTGTCCGTTTGCTTCCAGGGTCGTGTATCAGGATGGCTTTTATGGTGCTGAGATTTATGTAAGTGCAGCCCCGGGGGAGGGAGGGTGGAATCTGGCGTTTCGTATGTCTCAGCGAACAGTCAGTGTCTCCCACTCCTGGCCCCACTCCCCCCACCCCCTCCCGTCCTGGGAGCCCAGGGGGCGACCTCAGCACAGGTAAACCTGGGTTATCTGTGCTCAGGGTACGAGTAGCAATGGATCCCCCAGCAGCCCGATGAGCCAGGCGTGTCTTCTCCATTTCACAAGGTGTCAGTTGTATGATGGGGACAGTGGGTGAATCTCCCATATCCCTAACAGCATTGGGGTCACTGAGTGAGCCCCCATAGGCACCCTGTGTCCATTGCAGAGGCCAGAGAGAGACCAGGAGGTAGAGGCTCCAGGGCAGACCCCTTGATGGGGTCCCGTCTCCTCTCTTCTTTCATGGGGCTGCACTTACTGCTTCCTCTAGCTTGGAGCCCTTGCTGACGACCCCCACCCCCACCCCACGCAAGACCTCATTTCCATCCTGGGTGGTCGCCTGTAATTCAGCAATCCATTGGTCAGGGCTAAGACGTGGTCTGAGTTAATGCCCTTTGCCCTTGTCCCATCCCAGTGTCCAGGATAGCACCGAGTCTCCATACCCATCAGCATCAAAGTCAGGGGTACGCTGGCCTGGTGGCAACTCTGTGAGCACCTACCGTGTGCCAAAGCTTTGAACACAGCCAGACATATCATTGATGCTGACCCGTGTGTGTTGAACGCACAAATGGACGCATCAATGAATGAATGAATGAGGTGAACAGAAACCCCACCTTGAACCATGCCACGAAACCAGAAGCCAGGTGCCCCCAGGCCTGCACCAGCTACCCCTCACCTGGCCAAGATGAAGGTTGAAATGCTGTGTCCAGCCCACTAAGCCCGTGTGCCGTGTCCTCCCCTTACCCTGCAGGGAGGCTATGCTGCCTACAGATACGCTCAGCCCGCAGCAGCCGCAGCCGCCTACAGCGACAGGTACCCGCGGTGGGCGGGGGTGGGGAGAAGATGGCTGGGTCGTCGGGCTGGGCTGGGACAGACAGGAACCCTCGCCCGCAACACCCGGGGCCTGGGGCTGCCTCCCTTTGGTGGACACAGGGACTGGGCAGAGGAGAGCAGGTCCATGTGAGCTTGGAGACCCCAAGCCGGCAAGCCCCAAACTTCTGTAAAATCACTTCCTGCCTGCAAGAGAGGGGAGCCTTGGGACCCCCTGGTTCTCGGGTGGCGGACCGCTCCTCTGATGCCCAGCCCTGGAGGCCTAAGCCCCCTCCCCAAGCTCTGGAGGCCTGAGTGAGAAAGGTAATTAGGAGCCTTTGCTTCTGCCCAGGTACGCCTCTGACGCTTCTCAGCGCTCCCAGGCCTGAAACCCTTCAACCCCGAGAAAGAAAGGCAGAGTGCGTGCACCTTGGGAGCAGAGGCCTCTGCCCACCTGAGAGCACACCCAGAGGCCCAAGCGGGGGTTCTCTTTTGTTCTGAGGGCAGGTCTTGTAGGGGGGGCTGGCCTGTCACCTTTCCCCGTGGGCACTCGGCCTGGTGGCTGCAGAGCTGCAGGCTGCGGAAGCGTGCAGGCTCCAGTACCGGCCAGGCGGTGGGCGCTCCGTGGAGGACAGCCATCGCGTGCCGGCTCTGGCCTGGGAACTGCCCAGCCCTCCCTCTCAGGGGCAGGCGGCACCCTTGGACCCACACCTTCCTCGCAGCCTCACACTGCGTCTCAGCCTGTGGGTCTTGTCGGGGGCGCAGCAGGCCAGCGCTCAGGGTCAGCACTCGCTGGACGTGTTCAGAGGGTGACCGGCTGTGTTCCCTCCAAACAGGCAGGAAGAAGAAGGGGGCGTGCAGGGGAGGGAGGGGCCTTGGGGCGCCGTCTGGGAGGAGGCAGGAGACCTGCTGCCCCCGCAAATGCCCCGTTGCCCACACCCCACCCCCTGTGCTCACCTCCCCAGTTATGGCAGAGTCTACGCGGCTGCTGACCCCTACCATCACACCATCGGCCCCGCGGCGACCTACAGCATTGGAACCATGGTAAGGAGGCTGGGGCCCGGCTGCCCTGAGGCATGATGAGACGGCTTGCGCTGCAGCCGGGTGTGGGGGGGTGGTGGGGTGGGGCAAGCGGGCAAGCCCTTAGGGGAAATGACCCAGCCCTCGGCCTGGTGCCTGGAAGACAGAGGCCTGGATTTGAGTTGGGGGAGGACTTGCCCCTTTGTGCCCTCATGGAATTAGAGGGAGGCAGGTCTGCCCAGACAGTCGGCTGCCCAGTAATGACGTCTGATCGTCTGGGAAGCATTCTGGTGTGGCCCGGTTTTCTGAGTCCCGTCCGGGCCTTCCATTCCCCTCACCAGGAAAACCAAACAAAACCCTCCGGCAGAGGCTCCAGAGGCAGGCAGGGCCTCCACTTCCCCTCATGTGGGTGTGTCCGTGCCATGGTCCCTCTGTGTTCTGTCACCCCCTTGCTGTACCTTTTCTCACATCGAGGTGGGGAACAAGGGCTACCTGCTGTTTCTCACCCAAGGCCCTGCTTCGTGTCCCCTCCGTGGCTCCGGCTGAGTCTGCAGGCCCTCTCCTAGGGAGATGGGGCCTCTGACCACGGGCCTGGGGCGGGACGGAAGGGGCGCACTCCTGATGGGCTTGCTGAGGCCGGAGGTGTGTGGGCCAGTGTGTGTGTGTGTGTGTGTGTGTGTGTGTGTGTATGTGTGTGTGTGTGGCCAGCTGTTGACACATACAGCCCAGCTCACTCTGTACCCCCAAATCTGCTTGCAGTGGACACTTACCTCCCAGGCCCATCCCACCCCCAACCCCAGGGGGTGTTAATGTCGGTTTTTAGCTAGCTTGGCATCCAGCATCAAAGATGAAAACATTTTTGCGGGGGTAAAGAGGGAGGAGGTTCAGAGACAATATGGATTTTTTTTTTCATTTCCCTCGTTTTTGATTACTCCCTCCCAGTTTTTGTTTTGTCTTTTTTGATGTTTAATGAGCCTCAGACATCCCAGGCAGCCTGCAGTAACTGCTGGCAGCCATGGGGCCCAGGCCTCTAGGTGGGGGGGCCCACACCCACTCCTGGATGGAGGCCCCAAAAACGTTGCTTGCAGGCCCCTTGGCTCCAAGATCACCCGGCCCTCTGCAAAGCTGCTAGCTAAAAGTGTTAGGTAATTCACAGAGGGTTCCCTCTTATGTTTTCTTTTATTGATTTTTTTTTTAAGATTTTCTGTTTTTCCCCCCAGCTTTTCTTCTCTGGCACTTGCCATTTTCTTCCTTTTTCTGGGGAAACTGGTGGGTAGGGCAGGAGGTTCCTGTGCAGGCCTCCCTGATCCAGGGGAGCCCAGGGGCACCGGAGAGCAACAGTGCCAAAGGCCTGTCCTCCCAGCAGGATGGAGGAGGCGCAGGGACCCCAGAAGGCCCCACGGAGCTGGGTGAGCAGATGCAGCCCCTCCTGGTAGAGCCAAGGCCCTGGGAACCCTGACAAGAGGTCCCTCCACCCTCCCGTGCCTGGAGGGGCTGAGTCCTGACCCCGGCAGCCCCGCTGGGCGCTGAGGACGTGGGGCTTTTGCTCAGACCTGCCCCCCAGATTACAGATGACAGAGAAAGCGGGCAGGGAAGGGCCAGGCCTGAGCCAAGAGAGTGGCCGAAAGACATCTCAAGCTTCGTTATCCAGAAGCACTGTGGCTGGTGACCCCAGCACCTCCCTGACCCCAAGACCACCACGTCGGAAATAGGCCCAGGGCCCCTCCTGCTGCCATGACAGCCAGCACCCATTCTTCCCAAGGCAGACCATAAGGCGGGCAGAAAACGGGATTTAGCTATTTCTCTTTTTGTTTTTCCTTATTTTTTTTTTTCTTTTTGCTTTTTCCCCCTCTCCCAAAAGGCGGTACTGATTGGCTGTTTTTCATCTTTGATGTTGCAGGCTAGCCTCTGCCGAGGAGGGTACAGCCGCTTCACCCCCTACTAGCAAGAGGCCCAGCCCCTAGCAGCATTCACACTGACTGCCTAGTACACACCAAACCCAGCAGTCCAAAACCAGACACAGCCACCAGGAGGACAGTGCGCCCCTCCTGGTCAGCGACACGCGCCGCTGACCTCTGCGACTCTAAGTCCATAGGTTTTACCTCCGGCCAACTGGTCTCCCCCCCACGATGGCGTGTGTGTCCTTGACCCTGGTCACCCCCGTATGTCTGAAACCTTGGTTCCTATTTTGACTCTGTTGACGTTGTACCGCCCCCCCCAAGCCATTTCTGGTACAGTATGCACACAGTGGGAGGGGCTAGGCCGGCAGAAGACCCCTCCCCGAGAACTAGCAATAGAGCCCGAGAGGGCCATGCCCACTCCCCATGCCCCCGGGCTACAGAGCCACGGAAGACGCCAGCCCGGCCTCCCCAGGAAGCCACCCCAACCAGTCTGGGCCAGAGCCCCAGCCCCTCCCCTGGGGTTCAGGAAGCAAGGGGCTCCCGTCTGTCTGCCCCAGTCGGTGGGTTCCTAGCCTCGACAGTACTCCTACCTCCCCATCGTCACCCAGCTAATCACAGGAGTTAAGTGTCTCTGCCCTCTGTCCCCATCTAGCTAAACTAACATTTCTGATTAAACTTTATTGATGTT